CACCCCTCATATTTCGGGGATCAGAAATCGGAATCCATCGAAAAAATGGTATGTTTATTCATATCGTCTGCACTAATTAATTAGCAAATCTGATGTCACCCCTCGAACCATTAAGATTGTGTACAAGAATAGGAAAACCCGATCATTAGATCAAAATTATTCAGGGTGCTCCGTTGTTCATTTTGCGCACTGTGCATTTAATATAATTTAGTAATTAGTGTTATTTAATACTTCTAATTAAGCATAATTTAGTAAATAGTATAATTTAGTACTTATTTAGTGTATCAATTAATACCTTAATAAACATATGCTTTTTGTTTGAAACATTCTTTAATTAAGAAGCTTAAATATTCCCCGAAAATAAAATTTTTCACGCAAGTGAATTAACTGCTTTTCTTTAAACGGTTCCCATTTTAACGATATTAAAGCACACAGTTAGTGGAAAGATGAAGTGCTTTTTATTTGCAGTAACTATAGTAAGTAGAAAACATTAGTTTATTCTTTTTTTTAGGCTTAAGAAACACATTAGCTTAATGGGTGCTCGAGACATGCTGATTTATGCGGCCATAACACTTCATGATTATGTTTAAATTGCAGTTGAATCGTTTTTTATTCCCTTTTACACCAGGACAAAGAGCCCTGGTTGAATAGTTTTGATGAAGGACAAGGAATATCTTAAAGATGAGAGTTTTTTTTTTTTAAATATGTGTATATTTATTTCAGATACTATCACGAATATGAGGGGGATTTTAAAGTGAGTTTAGTATATATTGCTTTCCAGAAATTAAAACTAAAATAAATTCACTTTACTACCATTAAAACATATTTTATCGTGAATGATCCAAGTCAAGAGAACGTCGACTTTCACCAATGAATGTCAACAATCACATAGTCGCTTTGGAGAATTTCCGAAATATATCCGGTATGATATTAATTTATCCGTTGATATTATTATATTTATTCGATATTTTAATATCTGCTGAGGATAGATGAGAAGAAACATCAGTGTTCAGAGTACCGGTAAAACGCATACTGGGAAGTGGCACTTGAAGAGGGCATACCGGGCAATTGTATATTGAGCAGTGGCACTTGATCTTAAAAATACATCAGTGTAAGGCAGATCGGGCTGTGGTACTTAACTAGACCTAGTATTTATTTAGGACATTTACCAAAGTGACTATGTGAATGTCAACATTCACCGGTGGAAGTCGACTACTACCAATTTCGGTCATTCACAATTATTAGAAGCATGAAATTATTTTGGTTTGTAGAAAGATGTACATATAATACGATGGAATAAAACTATTTACTATAGGACAGTTAGTGCAAGAATTTTTAAATGTTGAACTTACAGCAAAAAATACCATATGGTCCGCTCTGCATCCCTCAGAAACATAACTACGAAAGTGAAATTTGAAGTGCTAAAACAGACATTTTTATTTCTAAACATAATTTGAGTTTGTTTCGAAATTTATATTTGTTCGAAAGCTATTGCAGTATACAAAATTGCACGGCAATCTTTTGGGGTTGAGGAGTGTCATAGAACGGATGGAAGAGCCCATTAGCGTTAAATAAATCTTTTTTTAATATGTTAATTGATTATTAATTCATTTAAAATAAATAAAACCTATCCAACTGATTAATATCGGTGGTGCAAATTTATTTATGTTATATTTGTCTAATTTTTTGTAATAGATAAATCTAATAGTTTCTTTTGGTGTTATATTGGCTCGGTTAACATACGGAATTTCCCAAATCAGCCCTTATTTTCTGTAAATATATTTTTAAGACACTTATAGACAACTTTTGCAATAATTTATGTTAATGCCTGTTGCTAGAGAGAGTTATAAATTGACTCTAAAATTTTTACTGTGAATTGTATTTAAACTTAACTAGAATCAGAGCTATATATTTTTATTATGATCCCACCTTTAGAGAACAGATCATAATCCATTGTTGTTTAAATTTATAAGTACTTTGAAACATTAAATATTAGTTATGGATTTTTATCTATCAATATAAATAATTTTTGAAATTAACCTTTTTAAGTTAGTATAGTACGTTGCTCTTAGTTTATTCATTAATTAAAATTATCACTTTGAATTCGGAAAACCTTTTAGTAATATCTCTATTCCTAATGTATAGAATCTCTTTACAGAATGTTTGAGACGAAAATTTAATCAGACCTGTCAAAATATTACGATTTTCCGATGAATGTATTAGGCAGATGGTAATGATTCTCATGAAATGTTTCGTTGCAACTAATCAATTAACATTGAGGATAATAACATTGACAACCGGTTTTAAAACAGCTCTTTTCAATTCCGAATAGAAAATATTTTCTAGACGTTAATTTACGATATTTAACAAAAAAATAGCTCATATTATAAAAGAAAATGTTCATTCTTAGCGAAACATATTAAAATCAATTTATATGATTTATTTAATCAGGAAAAATGCGTACAGTGCGTGTCAAATCATTATGAAAATATAAATAAAAGACGCAAATTTTTTCCCTGTCTTATAATGTTAAAACTGTGCTTACTTTTTAAACTAAAAAGGGATCCAAACCAAAGAACCTTTTCTCTTATCGTGGTTAACAACGTGTATATGTAAAAAAAATTGCCATATGGAGGGTGGCGCAAGTAAAAGTGATTCGAAAAACAGAGTTCCAGATATAAAAGAACAAAGGAAAGGAAACAATTCGCTGACCTGCGTATAGCAGATGTTGAAAATGATCACCATTAATCTCTTCGACACTTTCGGGCCCTGGTCAGCAAAATATGAAAAGTAGATCGAAGTTGAGATTCTGGAATTACTACAATCTCATCAGGAATGTTCTTTTGCAGCTCTTGAAGACTATGAGGGTTGTTGCAAAACACCTTAGACTTGAAGGTTCATGGACGAGATTACGTGGTATAATGGTCTCTTGTGCCTGGCGTCGGCTGAATTTGCTTGGACTCTGGAACATTTTATGGTTAACAGCATTCACAATTTCTGTTGTTCGGACGCGTTTCAGAATGTTTTTTTTTTTTTTTTTTTTAGTTCAAAACAGATCGTGCCNTTTTTTTTTGCTTAGTTCAAAACAGATCGTGCCTGAAGCTATTTTGTGAATAATCGTTGCATTGCAATCTTTGCTGGTACTTTGACACCATTAAATTAATTATCAAGAAACTAATCACTCTCTTTCTACGGATTTGTTTTAGCGTAGCTTTCCCCAACTAACACTGCAGGTCTATGAGCACGATCGTCACTTGTGTACTGATCAACTCACCCTGACGCAGCCCGCACTAAGATCTGAGTCTGTTTCGATCGCGTGCTTTTGCGTATGCCAGGTATATTAAATGCATTCACGCCCAATCCCCTCACCCTGACGCAGCCCGCACTAAGATCTGAGTCTGTTTCGATCGTGTGCTTTTGCGTATGCCAGGTATATTAAATGCATTCACGCCCAATCCCTTCTACACTCGCCCGGGCCACGCTTATTTGGGCTTCCAAGTTTAAAAAACGGATTATAAATTTTAAACAAAATTTCTTAATATATTCATCATATAAACTGGTTCATAGACAATTGTATTGAATAAAAAACGTAGGCTAAATAATTCTCTAAAATTTGGTAAAAGGTGAACATTTTTGAGTTATGTTACCGTTCCATTCAATGAAAGAGGCTTAAGTTCTGTAAAAAATATGCCTCTATTGAAACTAAGTTCAATTACAAAGGCCTCTTTTTTCATTGTAAAAGAAATATTTCAGTTATTGAATAATAGGATCAGCTATCAATGACTACGATAGAAGAACTTATGGATACATTAACATTATAATCGCATACTATAGAGAAACAAGAATGAAAATTACATTGCTACGATGTAACTCAAAAATATTTATTTTCTATGCTATGACGAAACATTTAGAAACTTTAATATTGTATACTGAAACGAAACTTTCAGTCACTTTAACATTCACACTAAAGGGATCCTAAAATTTTATGCAATGGAAAAGCATTTCATTTGTTGTAGTCATGACTACTCAATCATATATGTGCGTTTTAAAATTTAAATTTATTTCAAATAAAATGATTAAATCTATAAAATGATTACTTTTAATATTAATATTCTTCGTTTATTCACGTGTTTTGTATGAATAAAAAGAGTTTTAAATTTTTTTTGTTTCAATGATTGAATTTTCTTATATTTTTTACATTGACAAGGAGGCTTCATCTTCTATTTACTCTACTCAACTATTCACTCGGGACTTCTTTTTATTCGTCATCATTTCTTTTTCTTACAAGTCTTTTTATCTTTAAAAAAAAGCATGATTTTTTAAAAATAAAATATATAATCATTTGTTAATATGTTATTCAAAATAAAATGAATCATTTCATGGATTTTAAAAATATTCAACTGCATTTGGAAAAAATATTTAATGTTAGGAACAAAGATTGATCATGATGAAATTAATAAACAAATGTGGCTCTTTCAGTACATACAATTCTAACTCTGTGCTTGCATTTCTGTGGCGGCCTGCAGAGCGGCCAGCATAGTATTTTTACAAGAAATCGAAATTTAATAATTTCATTATAAATTACTATATCTTAAATTTCTTACTCCATTGAATTTTCGGTAAATGTTTCTACACACCTACGTAATATAAAGTTTCTAAGCCTTGCAGATTTTGCACAACAAGAAAAATGTAGCGTTAATTTGAACACCCGAATCAATGGCGACCCTTGCTATATTTTAGCAAAGAAACAAATTTTGTAAAATGTAATTAAGATTGTTTTAATAAGCGGAAGAAAAAGCAAATAATGACTTTTTCTTTAGTTCCTTAAAACATTTGCCACATAAATGCATGGTAAAATCAATTTCTAAACGCATCCCGTACAATAATTTAAATCTCATACAAATAACGACCATTTTAGGACTTTTAATCTAAAAAATTAAGAGTACCTGTTCATAAACCTTTGTTTATCTGCATTTAACTGTGTTATGTTTGTTGAACAGAGTCTTCACCGGGAGATTTCGGTTACGTGACTTCCAGTCCAAGGATCAGGCAATACAATAATGGATCTCTTGTTTTGTGGGATGTTGAGTTGTCTGACAAAGGATTTTATTTATGTCAAGCAAATAACGGAATCGGAGCTGCTCTGAGCAAAGTCATTTTTCTAAATATTCAAGGTGAGTTATAATTTAGTAAACTTACATTAAAACGAAATTTTTTCTAGTCCATTGCTTTGTGATAAGAGAATTTTAGTAGTGATTTAGTTTTACTGATTATAATAATAATAATCTCTGACAGAGTTGAACTAGAGCAGTAACTTAACTCATGCATATAAGGCTATCTCATTACACTATAATGGACAGTCAGAAAAGTAATAATGCTTATCCAAGTCAAATGTTGATAGTTTTCCATTGATGGACCAACATAATTTTTATGGTAACTATCAATAATCCCATCATGAAAAATTTTATATTTTGTAGGTAACTAACATAAGTAACCATCACCACAATGTAGGAATTTGGACAGATTTATGATAGTCCAACATAAGAGTACCAACTTGTTGTGATGGTTTGTACATGCTGAACCATTGGAAATTTTCATCATAGTTTCTTAGAAATCAAATGTTGAAATGATCATGAACGATCATCACCCTGAAGTAGGAATTCGGATTGATTAATGATGGTCCAACATTAAAAACCTAAATTGTTTTAATGGTATATTCCTGGGAACCAACAAGAATTCCAATCAAACCATCATGGAAATGTACAGTTGGAACCATCATGGATTATCATTGATTGTTGATCCATGAGAATCAAACTTCTCTTGATGGTTAACCATCATACTACTAGAGTACAATCATGGAATGATGCAAGTTTGCTGGCATGTCAAAAACCATGAACGCATAATGAGAAATGTTGAATGATGGTGACCATCATCAATCGCACTGAAACCAACATAAACCATCAAACTTTTTTGATGGGACTATCAAGAATTGTGACTTCAGTATGCTTGGTTGGTAACACTTTCTATGCAAACAATGAGCTAAATTGTCTGCTACACTTTGTTCTTTAATTCAGGTTGAATTGGGACTGTAAAGCCAACTTGTAAACTGCGATAATTGTTTCAAAATTTAAAATATGATCTATCACGATTAAAAATTACTAGTGTCTCTTCACTTGGATATAAAAAACTGAAGATAATTCCTATCAAAACTATTCATATTTTATTAAGGATATTTTTAATATTCGCTTATGCATCTCTATTTCTGTACTAATGTTTTTAGATAAAACGAAAAATTACTCATATATTTTTTATGTTTAAACTTTTACTAATGTAATATTTACTTTTCGAATATATATGTTGCGAGTGTATGACCGAAATCACGCGAATATCGACTTTTACCGGTGAATGTGAACAATCACTTAGTCATTTTGGTGAATGCCCCAAATATTTGTTACATCTGATTTGATATTAATTTATTCTTTGATAATATTACTTTTATACGATAGTTTAATATCTTCTGAGGATAGATTAGGATAAACATCAGTGGCCGGAGTACCGATAAAATGCAAACTGGCAGTCGAGCTTGACCTTTAAGAAACATTGATGTGGGCATACCGAGCAGTGGTACTGAACCTTAGTATATGTTTCGGAAATTTACCAAAGCGACAATGTGATTGTTAACATTCACCGGTGGAAAGTCAACAACCGCCCATTTCTGTCATTCACAGTAACATATATATTATGCATTTTTTCTATAAATCTAAACACGCTTCAACATATATTATAACAATGTATTGAAACTTAATTTTTAAACATTACTTACTCATTTCCTGACTCAAATGAAGTACTTATTGTTGGAATTAGTTTAACTCTAGATTATGTATGCTATAAAAACAAGTTTAATTGCTTAGTAAATAGTTTTAATGCTTTTAATTCTTATAATTAGTTCCTCCTAAATTTGAAGAGACGTACCAGAGTCGTGCAATTAAAGAGGGTGACAATACAAGCCTGAAATGCACAGCACAGGGCAACACTCCAATTGTGATCACTTGGCAAAAGAACAAGACTCCCATACCTGTGACTGTGAAGTCAAGGTGATTATAGCTCATTAATTGCAATCTCTGAAAAATCGTTTGATGTCATCTATCAGTAATTTAAACCATAATATTGTATAAATGGGCTGAAACCTTAATAAAGTGTGTTTAACTGAATCACTTTTATTCGGACCATAATATCACATGATAGAATTAAGAGTCCCCATTTGCCAGTAAAATGATATTCCAGTGAAATCTACAGAAAAGACCACCTCTATATAACGACCATTTTCGACCACTTTTGAGACGGAATTGTTTGTACGGAATTGTTTCCATAGACTTTGTGTTGAAGAAAACCTTTAAGAGAGACTATTAAAAAATCCCCCAGCAACCGGGCAAACATCTGCGCCAAATACGGAAATGGTCAACGATGAACCTCCATCAACGGCCATTTTATTGTGGAACGGAGAGTGGTCTCTCCTGAGAGGTCTCACTGTAATTACTCCTACGGAGAATTATATACTCTATGTATGGCAGCTATATGGCACCCACTTCATGCATAACACAAATGTCACAAACGGCTTTTGCCAGCTTCGAACCTTACTTAATATTAAAAAGGGACCTATTCTTCACAACTTGACATTATATTTTAAGATCTAAAAATTAACATAAATTAACTCGAATCGAAAAATATAACATAGATTTCGACGGAAAAAAGTCCTTTTATAAATAATTTAAAATATTATGCTAAAAATATTAAAGGACACGCGAATTGTTAAAATTTTGACAATTCCATATTCCCCATTTCTTTGTTGCTGGCTCTTTATCTGTATAAATTGATTCTAAAATAATACCTCATTAAACATATTTTTTAATTACTGTCTTACAATTATTAAGACTTAAATAAGTTTGAATAATTTTTCAAGCAATATTTTTATTTAGAATATTATCATGTCAACTAACATGGTAATTATTTAAAATTGTTACGAAATTTTTAATTTTTTTTGTATATATATATATATATATATATATATATACTATATTTAACCAATATTTGCTGCAGACTAAAATCTATATATTATTCCTCTCCCATGGCTACAAAGATAGTTCTTATTTCTTTTTCGAAGTTGGTTGCAAAAAATTGAAATATCAAGCGTGTGAGCTATTGTAAGCATGAAAGCGTAAATTCATATTTACATTTTCTGAGCGAAGAATCCTTTCTCGCGTGGCTAACGAAAAGCTGAAAGAAACTGAGATATAATTTGGAAAGAATCTGAAGGTTGAAAGCGAATAATTCAGATCAATAAAAAAGTTCTTTAGATTATGTTTTATTAATACTTATCCAGGTTCAATAATAATAGGTTTATTTACTGTCATTTTTTGAAAAAATGATTATTAGTGCTTAAATTGCCAGAATTTCGTTAAAAGAAAATTTTTTAAAGCATAATTATTGCATTCTATTGCATGTCATTATTTTTAGTTAAAAGGAACAAAACCCTTTGTTATAACATTTTCGAGTTTCTTATTTTTGGATTCAATTATTGTCTTATTTGCTTCCAATTATTTTTAATTTAGCATTTTCGAAAGCGATGTAACAACCATTAATTATTTCAAAAATATCATTCAAATATTTATTTCCCGGTATTACTTCTTTTTATCTCCCTTTTCAGATATTCTTTTCGAGAAATAACAGACGATAATCGAGTGACTTCTGAATTGGTGATCGTTTCATCTTCAAGAGAAGAGAGTGGAATGTACGCATGCGCAGCTGTTAATGAATTTGGCTATGATGAATCTACATTTCAGTTGGTAGTCCAAAGTATGTCTGCTTTTCTCTAAATGAAGTCATTATCTCACTTTCAGGAATAGCCTTGGGGCCTCAGGCAGATCTTTCGATAAATTCTTTGCATGGATGATCATAGACAATCTTAATTTCCATCTATATTACACTTTCCTAAAGTTTCTAGTTGAACTTAAAATCTGAAGCATATAGTTGTGAAATTTTTTAAAACTTGTATGTTTCTAAATTATTTTCGATTTCAATAAAATGTAGGGTAAGATGAAGTGCAATGAAATAAAATACGCTATTTTTATTCGTTCATGCAATTTTGCATGCGCAAAAGTACAATTAATGTACAATGTGTAAAAAAATCCCATCTTGAATAACTTTTGATCTGAGAATCGGATTTTCAGTTAACCAGTAGTAATAAGTATAAGTATAAAGCTCTATATTTAATTTTCATTTTTTTAAAGATGTTCTGCTGCTTAATGAGGCGTTTTAATTAAAATATTTAACTATAATGACTTAAATATAGTTTCTGCAAAGCGATAATTTAATATTGAAATTTTTAATTTTTTAATATTTAGAAATTAATTATTATAAAATGTCGAATGATGTTTCGGGCAACTTCCAAGTTAGCATAATCTTGAACTTAAAAATAAATTTGTATTGTTTTTTGCAAATAGGTGTACCAGACCCACCGACCAATTTGACTGTCTCAAATGTCACAAGTAGAACAGCAACTATCCGGTGGGATGTCCCTTTTAACGGTAACAGCCACATAACAGGCAGCAGTGTACAGTACAAGATGGCGGAGGGTAAGATATTTCTTATACGTCATTCTCCATTAACCAGTTCAGAAACTATGAAGGAGAAAGTAGAATGTCCCCAGGTTTGTATACTTACAAGTACGTATACTTACCAGTACGTATACGTATACTTACCAGTACGTATACGTATACTTACCAGTACGTATTCGTATACTTACCAGTACGTATACGTATACTTACCAGTACGTCTACGTATACTTACCAGTTTGTATACTTACCAGTACGAGATGTAATACGAGGCTACCAATTTCAGATTACGTTAATGTGATCATTAATCGCTAAAGTCAGAAAAGTTCTTTTTATATAAGACTCCATGGGCTGTGAAGTTGCGTGATCACGTGTCTGTGATTATGGTGATCATGATATGGGTTAAAATCATAATCAGATATGGGTTAAAAAGAATAATCTGAAAGAGCCCCCCCACCTTCCTTAGGGAAAACTCTCACCTCTATTGGTATGAACGTTAAACATGTTCCACTCCCCTAGAATTTAAGACAAATGAGCACTTCATTTTTTTAAAATTTAAATTTCTTCAATTTTAGTCAAAATGGCGACAATTTGAAATTAAACTATCAGCTTTTGGTGATCAACTTGGCCACCTTTATTTTTTTATAAATAAATATCTCAAGAAATATCGAATTTATTTTTTCACTTTTCATAAAATTTAATGAAAGTTTAATCAAAATTTAAACCCTGTTCTTACAGCTGTGCTTTGAAGGACAAGAAGTTTTTTTTTTCGTAAAAAAAATTTAAAAAGAGGATCTGAAAACTTAATAATATTACAAGTTTGCTAAAATGAGCTTATTTTTTTTAATTAGTATACATTATTCTTTTTTTTAAACTGAAAACGCCAATTCTGCTTATCTAAAAAGAATTAATCACTCATCACTTCCGTAATTAAGTTAGCGTGACTTTGGCAGTTACTTCCAAAGAAAAAAAAATCCACCATAAGTTCTAAATCGCGTGATTATGAAGACGATGATGAACAAATGCAATTAATAACTATACAAAGTAAGCATTTTGCTGTAACTCGTAATTATAGGGAAAAAAATTTCGAAAAAAAGGAGTTTTTATCTTCGAAATATCTAAACGACTTTATCTATAATCACTTTTGTTTCATTAAATATTTACTAACTTTTTTCTTTTTGATAAATTATTGTCAATTGCTAATAGATGTTTTATAAACTTTGTTTTAGTAGTAACCAGTTAAAAAAAACTTGAATGTCTTCTTTTAAAATATTTCACATATATTTTGATAGAAAAACCGTAGTATTGTTAGGATTGTTATAAATTTATGAAAAACAGAATTATATTCGTTTTCTGAGGAAATTGTTGCAAGAAAAAGAAATCTTGTGTTTTGATGCATGTCTAAATGCAATGAGAGAAAAATCATAGTTATTTTAATAAAACATGAATAAATGTAAGTATTTATCCATCCTTAAAATAATTTTTAAAAAGTAAGATAAAATATTTTCCTTTCTTTTAATGAAATATTTTTGCAACAAAATGTCAATTTCTTACTCGTGAAATATAGGATAGTCTAAATCATGTAATGACCGCAACCTTTTCGTCATTCATTAATCAGAAAGAAATAAAAGATAAGGTCCAGCTTTCCAGTATATGGTAAAAATTACCGAGTTTCTGGTACTAAGGAAACATAAAATATAGTAATTTTCACAGAAGCGCTTTGGTAATGATTTCTGTAAAATTAACAACATACGTTTTTTTAAACGTGAAAAAATTTAAGAATTAAGTTAAAATTTGGCAATTTTATCATGATACTTAAGAGCATGGCATTCAGTTAAATTTACTTCTCAGCTTTGTATTTTTCACTCACTGTGTGGTAATAAGAATTATAACTTTGAAAACTAGAATTTCCCTTAAACCGCTACCATAAAAACGTAAAAATGTCTAAATAAATGGTTTAAATACTGTATAGTTTGGTTTTATGAACAAGAATTTCTTTTTTTTTTACCATAAATGTTATTACTATACAGTACGGTAATTTTACCAGAACTTTTTATCCGTGTAGGTTATGATGACGCGATGTCCTAATATTCAATGATAAAAGTTGTTTTAATTATTAATTATATGAAATAAAAATTAAATTTTCATCAGTTGTGAATGTTTAGGATATCTAACATGAGAATCAATGGAATTAGAATTAAAATTTACCTACCGTTCATATCACTAATTCCACCTTTTGATTAAAGCCAAATTATATTTATTCGTTTACATTAAAAAAAAAAATGTTTACATATTTTTTTTAAAAAATACGTATACAAATAAGAATATATATTAAAAAGGTAATAAAATATCTTTTAAGTGTTGTCTTGTCATTTTCTCATCAGTTTAGCAAAACTGATAAAATGAGAAAAACCTCCTATTTAAAACAATGCTACATTAAAACTTTATATAATAAAATTCGAATGAAATTAGTCTAAAAATATTTTTTTATTTGAAAAAGTAGCAGGTGTTGAAAGTCTTCCATTAGGAGTTGGTATGTACAAGTGAGAGCAAAGCTCACCGATTATTCGAAAGATTCAAAGTGAATGCTGTAGTTGTTGTAGTTCATTTAACTCGCACTAGAGCTGCACAATGGGCTATTGGGAAACATCCCTGAGGATGATCCGAAAACATGCCTTCACAATTTTGATCCTTTTGATCCTTCCAATTTTCATCCCCACTTCGGTAGCCCGACGACCTGCACACGAAATCGAGCACTTTACGGTGGAACAGTTTAACGCGGACCGATACCGCACACTCTCGGTCCCTACGCAGACTGTTCCAAGTGGCCATCCACTCGCATACTAACCGCAGCCAGTGATGCTTGATTTCGGTGATCTGCTGAGAATCGTGTCTTAACGTGTCTGCGAGATCGATTCAAAGCGAAGGAAAAACGAAGAATCGAGGGAAAGTGAATATAAACGAAATGAATATAATATAAAGTGAATATTTAGCTGTATAGTAGAATAGAAATAATAAAAGAATCAAACAATGAGCAATTCAGACAATCGACCGAAAAATTTTTTCGATTCGATTTCGGCGATTTTCTGAAAATTCCTTGTGGTGTAACCACAAACTAATCTATATTATATAAAACGCTAATACGCACGTATGTATCAATAAAACCGATGATATTTCTTTTCTAGCGCTGGCAACAGTTTTCATTTTTAATTGATTGGATTCGGCGCGCAAGAGCACGTAGTGAGCATCATATGGCTAATCTATATTATATAAAGCGCTAATACGTTTTAATTGATAGGCTTCGGCACGCAAGAGCACGTAGTGAGTATCATATGTCTAATCGGGTGAATTCTCACCGAATTATCAAAAACATTCTCACAAAATTATCTTTATCGAAGCCGATGCTTTACATCCGGCGTTCAGTACTATTTCATATTGTTTCACAACACCTGGTTTTAGCCCTCTGGTGGGAAAGACTTTAAAACAAAACTTACAACAGTTACTTTTCTCAACAACTGAAATTTAGAATAGTGTGATTAAGAAATATATGCGAACAGTTTGCAATTTTAAATTAATATTGAAATGCACAGGTTTAGAATTTTCTACAGTGAAAAGTTTTCGGAACGTCAGTGTTGCCTAAAGTACACAAAAGCTAGACGTTAAGAACGTATCCAATGAGCGAGCANAAAATTAACAACATACGTTTTTTTAAACGTGAAAAAATTTAAGAATTAAGTTAAAATTTGGCAATTTTATCATGATACTTAAGAGCATGGCATTCAGTTAAATTTACTTCTCAGCTTTGTATTTTTCACTCACTGTGTGGTAATAAGAATTATAACTTTGAAAACTAGAATTTCCCTTAAACCGCTACCATAAAAACGTAAAAATGTCTAAATAAATGGTTTAAATACTGTATAGTTTGGTTTTATGAACAAGAATTTCTTTTTTTTTTACCATAAATGTTATTACTATACAGTACGGTAATTTTACCAGAACTTTTTATCCGTGTAGGTTATGATGACGCGATGTCCTAATATTCAATGATAAAAGTTGTTTTAATTATTAATTATATGAAATAAAAATTAAATTTTCATCAGTTGTGAATGTTTAGTGCTTCTAACATAATAATCAATGGAATTAGAATTCAAATTTACCTTCCGTTTATATTACTAAGTCCACCTTTTGAGTAAAGTCCAATTCTTTTTATTTGTTTACGTTAAAAAAAATTATGTTTACATATGTTTTTGAAAATACGTATGCAAAAAAGAATATATATTAAAACGGAAATAAAATATCTTTTAAGTGCTGTCTTGTCATTTTCTCATCAATTTAGCAAAACTGATAAAATGGGGAAAAATTAAAACACTGCATAAAGACTTAAAGTATTAAAATTCGAATCAAATTGGTCTAAAAATATAAAAGTTATTGCATATTATTTTATTTGATAAAGTGGCTTGTGTTGAAAGTCTTCTATTAGGAGTTGGTACGTACAAAGTGAGATTAAAGTGCACCGATTATGCCAGCATTTCAAAGCAATTGGTCTAGTTGTTGTAGTTCATTTACGTTGTTCTAGGGCAGCACAATGGTCTATTGGTGACGGTCTGGGAAACATCCCTGAGGATGATCCGAAGACATGTCGTCACAATTTTGATTCCCTGCAGAGGTGATGGCACTCCCACTTCGGTAGCCCGACGACCTGCACGCGAAGTCGAGCACTTTACGGTAGAACAGTTTAACGAGGACCGATATCGCACATCCTCGGTCCCTACGCAGACTGATCCAAGTGGCCACCCACCCGCACACTAACCGCAGCCAGTGATGCTTGACTTCGGTGATCTGCTGGGAACCATGTCTTAACGATCAGTCCACTGAGGGACCGATTCAAAACGAAAGAGAAACGAAAAATCGAGGGAAAGTGAATATAAACAAAATGAATATAATATAAAGTGAAAGTGAATATTTAGTGAACAGTAGAATAGAAATAATAAAAGAATCAAACAATGAGCAATTCAGAGAATTGACCAAACAATTATTTGGTCGATTTTCTGAAAAATTCCTTGCGGTGTAATTACAAACTAATAATTGAGTAAATAGTTTTATTTTGATTCATCATATAATTTTATTCTTCTGAACAATTCTATAGGAAATTAATGCAAATCATTTTTTTAACGACTAAATAATAATAAACTAAATAAACTAAAAAGAGTACATACGCCCACAGTACAGTTACTGAAAATAGTTATGTACAAAATTTAAGCGTTTTAAAAAACTGAGTTGTGCGTAATTAAAAAAAGAAGAAAAAGAAAACCGAAATCCTCTTGATTTGCATTGATGTGCTTATTTTTCGCAATGTTTACAATTTGTTTCATAAATTATTTACAGTACTTCAATTTAACAATAGTTTATTTCACGGTAAAGAGTGATTGAATCATGGAATTTACGAACATTCACTTTCATTGGATACTTTTTATATATAAAATATTTTCCAGCACTCTACAAAAGACAAATGATTAAAAAAACTGCATAAAGCAAGCAAAGAGGATTAATTCACAAATTCTTTTATTATTTCAGATAGCTGGAAGGGGCACACATCTCAACTCATAGTATCTGGATCAGATAGTGTGGCCGTTTTGAGAGCTTTACAGCCTGTCACAACATATCAACTCAGAATCATCGCTGAAAATTCCATTGGAAAAAGCAAACCAAGCAGCATTATCAATATAACAACGCAAGTCGAAGGTAGAAATAAACAAATAAGAATGTAGAATGTATATATTTACAAAGCGATAAGGAAAATATAATTAATTTGAAATAGAAAAGTAAATTGAAATCGAACAAAAGAAACATAGATGCAATACAGTACTTATTCATGATAGAGATTATAACAAAAACATAAGCGTGTATTTAACAAAAGCTGCTGTGTGTTTAACAAAATAAAAACGTTATTCGCGAATCGGAATACCATACTCTAAACTAGGTTTTACTATATTTTTACTATACTATATTTTTTTCACGAGAGTCTTATGTTATGAGTTAAAAACTAATATTTTGTTAAAATACAGAAAAATATTCACAACAGATTTAGTAATTTTACTGATGTAAGTAAAAATCTAAATCACTTACCAACTCTGAAGCCAGTAAGGGCATTCTATTAAAGTATACCCGCGTCAATATGATGCAATCTAAAATCATGCAAATCGGCAAATTTGCCACCTCGATTTTAACACTGAGAATCGGGTCCTGCTAAATTCGTGGTAGGCTGAAACTCTGTCCACCCCGGGTGGTTATGGAATAAGAAACAATGAATTGAAATATCTGAAAGTTCCTTCAGAGGAATTCACTTCGAGCATCCGGCATTTGCTGCAATTTTTGCTCACGAAAAATTCTTTTTATATGCATTTGAATAAGAAATTACGTAATTTTTTTCTCAATATTTTTTCAAGCATTTTTCACAGTGAATCAAGTGAAACTACGCTCGGAAAAATCTGTTCAAGGCAGAACTATGATATTAGTACACTTTTAATCAGTACAAATTCTTGTATTCTTACTCAGTTGTTAAATTAAACCATTAAACTTTGCAAACTTAAAAATAAATTAACAAATTTGTCCACGATAACTCAGTTCTACCCTATATGACAACTAGTGCAACATATTGCTTACAAATATAAAACAGCTTTGTCATTAAGTTGTAAATTATTTTGAATGAAAATATTCGTAAGAAGGCCAACAGTTATGAACACAAAATGAAAACACAAAAGTTTCCTAAAGTACATCAAAATTTTATGAAATGAATTAAAACGTAAATTCTGTTTATTTCTAAGTTACATCTTTTTATTTTAATTTAATCCCAAAATTAGATTACTAATAATTAAAATCAAAGTTAAAAGAAAACTCAGGGGGAGATAGAAATTTTCTTTTGTAGCCGAGGAATTTTTTCGATTTATGATTTGCTTATTCTTGCTGACAAGAAAGAAGAGGGTTTGTAAAATTGTCAAAAATATGCTTACTTAATATTTGAACGGTATTGTACTAATTTTCTTTGAATTTTTACATAGGCAGAAGATATCTTGCTTTCAGTATTTTTTTATTTATTTATTTATCTTATTTTTAAGTCCGCCCCACATGTAGAAAATGTTGAATTATTTATTAATTATTTAAATTGTCTTAATAGTTAATAATAAATAAAATAAATAGTGTTAATAATAAATAATATAAGTAGTGTTAATAATAAATAATATAAACAATTTAGTAAGTACTGTTGCGAAAAATTAATTACATTAAATTAGAAATTACATGAAATTTTTACGTAGACAGAAGATATCTTGCTTTCAGTATTTTGTTATTTATTTATTGATCTTTATTTTTAATTCCGTCCCGCAATGTTAAGATGAAAAATGTTGAATTGTTTATTAATTATTTGGTTTGTCTTAATAGCTAAGAATAAATAATATAAATAGTGTTAATAATAAATAAAATAAATAATTTAGTAAGTACTGTTGTGAGGAAAAAAAATTTCTTGGGCTCTATTATTATACTTTTTGTTGCATTGGTTTTGTTTATTATGTACTGTTTCAACTATTGAAAAATAATAATAAAATATTTTAAGTCGTTTTTAGCAATTTTGGCAATTGCACATTACTTATACTCTAAATAAGGTTATTATCCTGAATGAATTAAGTCATTTAATTCATGAATTATATCGATGAAAAACGTAGACATGCTTCGATTGCTCAAAAACATGGGCCCATTCTCAAGACTCTTTAGGCGGAAAGGAAGAAGACAAAACATATTTGAAAAAGAAAACTCAAAGTTGCTACGTTTTTCTTTCTTCTTTGAAATCTGTTTCATTCTCTTCGTTCACATCTAATTAGTCTTGAAAATGGGCACTTTTTCTAAGTACTCTAAACATACATTTGTTTTTATTACAGCTCCATCTGGACCATCCAGAGATCTGACTGTTCATCCAACTGGAGATCAATCTTTGAAAGTTAGTTGGAAGGTTCGTACAGAATATAATTTTTTCTTTTTCGAAATTTTAAGTGAATCGGAGCTCCAATATTTCCATGCAAAAATCTGAACAATTATAATTTGTAAATACTATACAGGCAAACCCCGCTATAGTGAACCTTTAAGGGATCGAAATTTCAGTTCACTATAGCCGGAAATTCACTATATCCGTTTCTCAAACAATTTTAACTAATGGTTCCAAATTCTCCCCCCCCCCTTCATTACACAACATTATTTAAATAAATGACGAATAAAATGAAATACAAAAATGACTGAAAAATAATACGTGGTAACAAAAATATGTTAACTTTTATTGTTTTATTTCTCTTCGTCTTGCGTATAAAAAAAAATTGTTATCTTTTCTGATGAACAATTTTCAACATCATATATGGTAACACTCTTCCCGACTCTCCGATAATTTTTCCTCAATTTATGTTATTCCAAATTTTAAACCTGTCTAACCAGCCATTCGAGCACATAGAAGTAGTTTCACCTAATCACTTAGCAAATTCATCAGCTTTGACTTGAAGCATTTGTCCAGATACTGGACAATTTCGGCTAGTCTGAATGCTGAACCAATTCAATAATGAAGCAAACAAGAAAAAATGCTTATCGCTACATTCCATTCTATAGATGGTTTTAAAAATCGGTATATGTATTTATTTCGGAGTGGAAATTTCAAAATTATAAAAAAAAAAAATGAAGAAAAAAATCAGTCGAAGACAGAAAAAAGTTCATTACATCCAACTTCCTCACTTTATTTGGTTCACTATACGTGCGTGTCACTTTGATCAATTATACGTGTATAGGCAAAGCACGGGACCAAACATTTCGCTCATTATATCCGGAAGTTCACTGTGTTCACTATAGCGGGGTTTGACTGTATCATTATTATTCGAAAAAGCAGTGGAAGTTTAGATCTTCATTTGCTGCACTATAATTTTTTTAATATTTTTAGTTTGATGATACTTAAATCACAAAATTTGAAATTTAGAAAAATAATATGTGGGAAATTAAATTAATAACTCTTGCTAAGAACTGAAATCGGAGACATATGGACTTGGAATACTTTACTTCCAACTATATTTACAAGTCAAATAAGGACATCATAAAATATGTTAAAATCACGTTTATTTATTTATTTAAACTCAAGTTTATTTATCTTGAAAATTATTTGTAATTAATTATGTTACCTTCACTTAGCATCTGCTATTTGTTACAGAAAACGCAATCGAAATTCTTTTTGTAACAATTTTAATTTAACTTATTTTGAAGTAAGAGAGTTTAAAATACTTTATTTTTTATTTAGTTCCCCGTTTGAATAATATACGACTTAATTCTTTTTTTCAAAAGCGTTAAATTAACGAGATAAATTTTCTTACCCCGTGCTTTTAATTTAATTACCTTCCATCTTTCTCGATTAATACTCGAAAAACCTTTAAAAGAACTCCGCCGGACGTCCATCGGATGTTATTTTCTTACACTGCAAATGATTAGAAAAGACATTCAAAAGCGGTATTTTTAGGAAGTTAAAAACTTTTACCAACGACTTTCCCAAGAACAGGAGATACTTCCATTTCTTTTTTTCCCATCCCGTTTCGCTTCGTTTCTTTTCCTGTAAGTGGCATTTGGAAACTTTCCCTGCGCCAATTTCTCTTCTTTTTTTTTCTTTAAAAGTAAATAGTTCTGTTTTCTTTAACTATTTTCGTTAGAGTTATTAGAGAAATGAAATTGCGCGTAGTCTGTTCTCCGCCAGCAAGAATAATGATTTGATTAAATTTTGCTAGATTAAGGACTCCACCCCCTTCTCGTTCCTTTCAGCAGACCCCGTGATAGCTTTAATTCATCATCGTTTGAAGCCTATATATATATATATATTTTTTTTTTAAATAAAAATGTTTTTTGTAAGCAAATGCTGTTATTATGTTAACGATTATAAAATGAATGATTGCGAGGATGAGGAAAATAATCAACTGTACTTGAATAAAAATAAAACTGAAAGAAATAGAATGTGTGCCAAAATAAGAAGAAATAAAAGAAAAGTACTTTTACTTATTTTTACTGTTTAACGATGTACAACGATGAATATTTATCTTTATATGAGTTCATATAGAGAAAGGATTTCATCTCTATCGAACTCGTGAATTTAGACTTTTATATTTTTAAAAAACTCAACGTAAATGTTAAGGTGACATATTTGGTAGCATCTAATCTATCTATTTGTCACTTTGTTACTTTCGACGTCGACTCAAGCGAGAGCAAATAAAATAAAGATCTCGAGAAAGATAAAGTTTACTACAACAATGGATGAGTAGTCAACGTTTAAAGAAAAGAAATCTGAAAAATTAAGAATAAGTTTATAATCCCGTAAGTTTATAAATGAAAATGTCTCTTCCAGCAAGTCGAATTTAAACTTTTTCTTTGTATTCCTACGGGAAGCAGGGCAGCCTGGTCTTTTCTTGTACAACAGGTTTAGTATCAAAAAGTTCTTGATTTGATGAATACTTTTTTTAATTCCACCGTAATACCTGTACATTTTTCTTCAGACTTATGTAATTTCAAGTTTTTAGGTTTAATAGTTTCTGCACAACAAAACAAAATGAAACGTTAATTTGAAAACTCAAAACAGTGGGGGAGGTGTTAACGAATTTTTAACATTGCTAGAATAATTTCGAATTTTTAGACGTGTTGCTCTATTTCAATGATTTACTACCTGTACTTCATTTACATTGATTTGATTCGCATTTAAGCATTTTTGATAAATTCTATAAGTTACGTCTTTATTTTCTCTATCCAGACATTTTTATGTGTATATATTGGGAAAAAAATTTGGCCAAATCTCCCAAAATATAGTAAATAATGTAGTAACGCCCTCCGCGTATGAGGTACGGTCAGTGGTGCATTTTTAGTCCATAAAAACCAGGCTGCCGCATACATTCACCGGCAGATTAGTGAAGTTTACAAAACTTCCTACTGACAGGAAATTTTGCTACTCCATGAAAATGACTCTCTCCACAGCTCAGTCCCGAGTTTTAACGGTATCTTTTGGCTGGGAAGTTTTGGATTGCCCCTCAATACAGCCCAGACCTTGCACTAAGTCATTTTCATTTTTCCCGGTGTTTCAAACATCATTTTGGCGGCAACCAGTACACTGATGACGAAGACGTGAAAACGGTCGTGATCTCTTGGTTATCAAAACAGGTATCAAGTTACTAGGGTATTTTAAATCTAGTTGTAAGGTGTGATAATTGTGTAAGTGAACTTGACAACTATTATGGAAACAAGAGAAACTTATGTAGATTCAAGAAATAAATTTGTTTCATGAAAATTTTCTTTCGTTCGGTTTTTGTTTTCAAACTGCCCTTACTTGAAAAACACCCTTCGTAGAATAAAGAACTCGCAATGAATTCCCTTATTAAACATTCTTTTGATAGTGTAGTTATTTTTCCACATTCTTCTTTTTCTTAATCTTTTTTATTTTCTTATTTTATTTTTTACCCCTTTATATGCCTTTACTTCGTTTATTTTACTTCCGTTAAATATTAATTTTTTAAAGGTACACTGGAAAGCAGTTCATCAGAGAATTTGGCAGAAAGATATTTAAATAATTTTTATGTTATGACTTGAAGTAATTTCTAAACAATAAATATTTTACTAAATACAATAACAATAATAACACCGATTTCTTAGAATCTTAATTAATCCTTGACTATGAATAATCCTTCAGAAAACTTTTCGACTGCTCAATTGTAATTTTCAGCGTTCATTTATAGCATTTATATGCGCTTTAAATTGTCTCTTTTCTTATTCGGGGAAGTCTGCAATCATCGCACTTATTGTACTCGTTTTGAATCTTAAACTCCTATAAAGTGGAAAGATTATACACATAAGGACTGTAAACTAGTGCTTAAAATAGAAAAAAAAACAAAAACATTATTATTATTATTTGATGAATCTACGGTATTATAAACATTAACTTCAGTTTGATTATTCTAAGAATCTTGGAGGTGCTCCTTCCAGTTGCATACCATATCCAGGGCCCACGCTAAGCATTCGCTATCTCTCCAAATGCTACAAAATCATAAATTTGGCTAATAAAATTGCGTTTTGGAGAAAGTATTGGCGAATGATTATTTTTACTGGAAAAAAATATATTTAACTCGATCCTCAAAATTACGTAAAAATTTCTTTTCTAAACAAACCAGCATTTTTTTTATTCAGTTACACTTACAGTAATTAGATGCGCTGCATAACCAAATAGAATCGGGTCCAAGTAATATAAACATGAAACAAACTACCATAAAGTACAGATTTTACCCCGTTAAATAATTCTATGGATAGAAATTAATCATAAAAAATTGTGCATTTGCCGAAGACTTTTGAAAATTGGCGAATTCCTTTGATGTTTGGCTAATTTACTGGTTAATAATTTGAAATCCTTAGCACGGAACCTGCGTATCCCTGTTTTTTCCCCTCCAAAAACAAAACAGGTAATGATTATTCCAATCTTGCTTTTTGCCGCTAATGATTTGTCACATTTTAGAAAATTTCTGTTTGCTTCCATTTTTTTATTTATCAATTTATGTCTTCTTTAGTGCCTTTTCTTTATTTTTGAAAAGGATTGGGTAAAGTATGTATTAAGAATGGTGATAACAAAAACTCGTAATTATTTTAATGACCTTTAAAGAGTCGCGTTTTCCTTTTTATATAGCCCCCAAGAGAAGATGCTCGCCATGGTCAGATACAAGGATACCACGTGGGATACAGAATTTATCATACAAATGAAAAATTTCAATACAAAACTGTGGAAGCGAACAAAGAAAATGAACAGCACTCAACTTATGTCACTGGTCTACAGCCTTTCACCAAATATGAAATAATTGTTAAGGCGTACAATGTCGCTGGTGCTGGACCGCAGACAGATAGTGTTGTTGGTACGACACTAGAAACTGGTAAGCTTGTTTTTTATAAATCGCTTTTTTTTTCTTATTTATTGATGATTTTTATTTCAATCACTCTCGGTGTTTTTATTTCTATTATTGAAAAATCATTTGATGTTGCCATCGATTTTAAAATCACATAGATTTAACATTTTATTTTTAAATGAATTTTTCTCATTTTTTTATGAAATTCATACGTATATCTCATAGAGAGATACTAAGATTTTTAAATTTTTTATCTGAATTAGTTTTTTTTATTTTTGAGTGTTATTTAAACTTTTTGAAATAATAAGTGAAAAATTTCAGTATATTTTTTAAGTAGTATTTTGTAGATAAACCACACAGCAAGTCGGATAACACTGTATTTTTTATTTTTTTCTTTTCCAAAAATAAACAAGTCCCATCGTTTTTCTTATTTAAAGTTTGCTCGGTTCAAAGTAGCATTTGTTTAATTTACTTAAAAAAATATATTATTCTTTTTGTTACAGAAAACATTAATTATAATCTTACGTGCAGAGAATCTTTCATACATTCATTCTTTTCATACTGCCATACGCGCTCCATCGCAATTTATATAATTATTAGTACCGAAGAAATGTTATCTAATTAAATTGTTTTATGTGATGTTATTTTCAGTTCTTCATTATTAAAGTTAAATAACTTAAATATTAATTGCGAGCAAAACGGAATTAAGTCGTGATTAAAAAATCTTAGTTCTTAGAAAAAAAATCTTAGATCAGATAATTACAGCATCTGTAGATTATTTTTCATCTAAGATTTCTTTTTATTTTTAAGAAACACAAACAAAGAAAGGGAGCAAAATTGCTGAGGCTCCTTTTCAAATATTTCTAAACTAGGAAATATTTCTAAACCAAAGGGAAAAAAAATGTAAAGATTTTTTTTTTCTGATACTTGATTATACGCTAAACAATAATTATATTCATTCCATATTTTTAGCATAAAATTATTAAATTTGTTTGTATAAAATTCATCTTAAATTTAAACAAAATAAAGTTTTTATATACAATTTTTGAGTACTCTCTACTTGTTAATTGTACACTCTACTTTGTTTACCGGTCGGCTTTCTTTACAAAAAAATATGTAAAGCTACTTGTTTGGTTTACAAGTGAAACTAAAAAAAATGTTTACATTTTGTTTGATTTACATAAAGATATGTGAAGCTACCTTTTTGATTTACATATATTTATGAAAGTGTAAAATTGCTTTAATGCTGTTTGATTGTTAAAATTGCTTTAATGCTCCCGGGAGATTTAATTGTATCAATATTTTTTTTATTATGTTTAAATACAGAGTGATTGCCGACATATTTGTATCGACTGGAGAGCGTACCGTGTGAGTGAACGGAAAAAATAAAATTGTACGTAAGTATTATGATAAATGAGCTCAAGAAAGACGTTAAAAACACTCGTGGTTACAGTTAGAGTAACAAAACTTTGAAATGCTCAAATGGCAACATTAAATTTTTATGATTGAAATGTTTACTGTAAGAAACCTAAAATGGAGTTGAAACTGTATTTTTAGAGGAAGAAATTACTACGTTGGGCTTTTGCCATACGTTGTAATTTGTAATACGTAAACAACGTATAATACGCAACGTATAATACGTATACGTATAAACAACGTTGTAATACGTAAATACTAAGAAGAAGAGAGAATGATGAAAACTTTTAAAAACATAGGAGAAACTATAGACATGTCAAAAAGTTTTAAAACATAAATTGGTTTCATTGTAACTTTTTTCTCGGTTTTTAAAGATTTTTACCAAACAATTTTCTAGTTAGTGGTCACGAAGAGTAGAACAAAGGCCTCGATCGAAATTTCTCATTCTAAAAATACCGTTCCAATTGCATTTCAGGTTCTTTACAGTAATGATTACGTTTTTATCAAAAAAGTAGTTGTGCTGAAAATTTTGAAATTTCATCACTGTAACTGCAACTATTAGCAACCACTTTTAAGGTCATTCTTAAGCATCAAGATCATAATACCTATGTACAAAATTTTATTCCTCTCTTTCAAACGGTAAGCTCTACAAAGAGAAAGTAATTTTTCAATCACCCTATACTACCATAATTTTGAGTGAGTGAGATCTCTACCAAATTCTTAAATTATTATTATATCTGATCCATTAACCAATAAACTATTTCTAATGAAAACTTTCTTTTTGTATTTTTTTGAGACTTATACAAATATAATTATAAATAAATTTTAAAAAAATTATACAAGATTAGTAGAGCAAATTTTAGGAATTGTTTCATTTAAGATCTTTATTTCGTTTTTTATTTCTACGATTTTAAACGACGAAATTAAATTAAAATAACAGCATTGATAATTTTACCACATGAGCAATTAACATAAAAACAGAACTCATGAATTTTCTTTCGAAACCTTTTAAATCATTACGTACGGTTTTAAGAAAAAAGAAAATCCTCTAGGCAAAACTCTTTTTGTCATAGTTTTAATTTCTTTTTAAAGAGAAGCCCTTCCAGAAAGAAAGCAGGAGAAAAAAAAATTAATCTTTCTATTTTCTTTTCCAGCTCCACCTACTTCACCAATCCTACAACTGAACGGTACAACTTTCAATTCTATAAATATTAAATGGCAAAAGGATTCAAAAGATCGATCTAGCATTACAGGTAATATTTTTACTGTAAAATATGACTGTGTCAGCATCTTTTTTTCATAACGAAATTTTTAATTGTATTTTTGCATCTTTTCAATACATTCGCCATAATACAGGGTGTTTATAAATTCCTGGACCCATTTTGATGTTTAATATCTCATAAAATAATAAAGATAGACTAAAATTAATAACATAAATGGTTAGATTGACTCAAAAAGTTTCATGACCCTAGTCAATGAACTTCCTCGTGTGCCCCCTTCGTCGCACGGATTATATCAAGTCGATAGTCAATTTCACGCCAGGTAGCGGGAAGCATGTCAGCATCCACAGAGGCTATTGTGTTTGTAATTCTGGATTTTAGGTCATCAATGTTCGACACGATCCTCCTGTAAACATTGTCCTTTATAAATCCCCAAAGAAAAAAGTCCAGCGGCGTTAGATCAGGTGATCTGGGTGGCCAAGGAATTGAACCTCCTCGCCCAATCCATCTTCCTGGAAAATGGTCATTCAAAGAACTACAAATGATGATACACCAATAAGGTGGTGCACCTTCTTGTTGCAAAAAGACATGTGGCTGAAGTTCTTTTAGATGTGGAAATCAGAAGTTTTTCAACATGTCTAAGTATATGACTGATGACACCGCGTTTTCTCTACAAAAGAAAGGTCCAATGACTCGGTCGTGCATTAATCCACACCACACATTAACCTTTAGAGAATCCCTTTGTGTCTCACGGTATTCATGGGGTTTTTCAGATCCCCATATGCGCACACTATGGCGATTAACAATGCCAGAAACATGAAAGGAGGCTTCGTCGGAGAACATTATGCGCTTCAGAAAATCAGCATCTTCTATCCTACCTACCATATCTGTTGCACACGCCATCCTCCTAGGCCTATCGTCCGGTTCCAAACCTTCAATTTGAACTTTGTATGCATGCATTCTTAATTGTTTCTTAATACCCTTGCACACCGTCGGATTGGCATATCCAATTCTCTTGTCGCTGATCTCATAGATCTTCTAGGATTGTCTAAAAATGTCTGTCTGACATCGCTCAACGACAAAATCACTTGTGCAGGGACGTGAGGAACGTTTCTTATCTGCGATACTTCCAGTTTCTAGAAAATTCTTTTACCACCGCAAGATGCTGCTTTTGGATGGAGGATCGTTTTGGTAAATTCTTCTGCAATTGCTCTGTGTTTGCACTATCGATTTCGTTACTATGAACCACCATAAAATCCGTGCTTTCTCTTGTGGTGTATGCATTCTTCTTAATATCCGCTCGAATAAAACATCACATAGAAAAGTACTACATAGAACAAACGCATCAAAAGTAAACATAACATTGCAATAGTTGCCAAAAACAAAAGAGAGAAAAATACAATTAATAAGCAGACGATATTTAGAAAAGTACAGATATTTAGACTTTGAAATGAAATTATCTGAAATTAACCACACGCGCAGACGATATTTACAAAAGTAAAGATACTCAAACCTGAAAAGGAAAATATATGAGTTATTCCATCAATAAATGCCATAAGTTTGTTTATATCTTCATTATTTTATGAGTTATTAAACATCAAAATGGGTCAGGGAATTTATAAACACCCTGTATAAGAAGGGGAAAATTTCAAAAATATGCTCAGTATGAAAATATCTTCAAATGCTTAGATCTTCCGCACAGTTTGTAATGAATTTCTTTTTAAATAGAATGATTATTTTATTATTCTTATTAATTAAAAATTGCTCTGATTTTTTTAAATTTTATTTTGTTGAATATTTTTAAAGTTCTAGCAAAAAAGAAGTAATATAAAAAAAGAATTTTTTTTATGAGAATGATCATATCTTCATATATTCCTAAGCTAAATTAAAAAAGAAATAAAAAATACAATTATTACAAATAACAACCAAGGTTATCGATGCAAGTTACAAGCGCATTTCTTGAGAAATAAAAGAATAGAATGTAAAAAAAAATAACCTTGATACCTTGCAAAGTCTATGAGAAACTAATTTGATTTAACATTAGAACAAAAAAAAATTGTTGTTGTCATTCTTTTAAATAATATGCATTGTTCTGGAAATAAAATGTATAGTAAAGAATTATAAATATGCATAATATAGAAATAATAATTTATTTACTATTATTTAGAGATAAAATTTATTATTGACCAGATGGCAGTACTAAGATAAAAAAAAAAAATTAGGCAAGAAAATTATATTTTATTTAATTCATAATATGTTAATTATTAATTATAATGAAATCATAATATTGAAGTATTACTGCTATTATAAATAAGTAAAATTTTTAAACATATTTGAAATCATTAGAGTGCTTCTAATGCTAAAAATATTGTTGTTTTGCAGAAATTATGTATGATTCACTTTATTCTATCTCTTACAGCTCAATTTAATTTCAGATTATTATATTTAATAATAATGAATAAAGAGCGAATAAAAGTGCATACAAATTTCATTGCAAATAATTGTAAATGTCAAAAATTTAAGAAATACTGAAGTTGTGTGTGCTTAATTTGACATCGATATAAATTTCAGAATTGTGACTAAGACTTTTAAATAATACTCTCTAGATGGCACCACTATCTACTTCACACAGATTGGTTGAAGACATCTGTTTCATTTATTTCAATTAAAAACTAAAAATGCATTACACTAAAACAAAGTAATTTTACATGTTGCTTCGAAATCAGATGATTTTCGTCCTGGAATTCTGTAACTGTCTATTTAATAATAGTTTAAAGGAATAAACATTTCTCAATATGTTCTACTGAGGGGAAAATATATGCAAGTTTGAATGACGTTTATAAATCTAAATATCTCTGATGTTATTTTTAAAAACTTAGTTTTTTCGACAATTTGTGTTTTCTTTCAAGTTTATTTGCTATATTTTACTACTTATTTTATTTTACATTAAGTTATTACATTAAGAGTCTTAATAACTTCCAATGTCATGAATAGATGGCAGCACTATATTCGGACGTGCAATTGGAATTCTTCAGTTAAGTTTATATTAAATATAAATATTACAAATAGAATAACGTACAGAAGTTGAAAGAAATAATGGAAACACTTCAATACTAACACATTTTTTAATCTTTCTCAAAAAGTTAGAAAAGCATTTTATAAATTTCGAAATGTATAGTTAGTTATTATATAGTTTCTAATACTTATCAATAAAGTTTAAAGCTCTTAGAGGTTTGAGGTACCAACAATAAATAACAAACGGAAAATTATGTTTCTGATCACCTTATGCAAAAAAATTTTGAAATAAATTTTTAATTTTTAATAATTACTTTGGTTTTAACATGAAAAAAGTGCACGAAATTCGGTAAACCTAGCTTAAATATTAATGAAGACATGGATAAATTTTTGTAAAAAAAAAAAAAAAATTTTTTTTTGTATCACGTTTTTTTTTTTGTTTTGTTTTTTTGAATTGTAAAAATATTCAATAAAATTAAACAAAAATTTTGGAGCAAAAATTTTTTTCTCTATTTTGTCGTGAATCATATTTGGCAACTAAATAAATAAAGTCCAACAAATATCTTAACTACTTAAAAAGTTTAAAGTAATTTTTTAAGTAGGTTTCGCACTTTTTAAAAGAAAGCCCAAAATGATGGGGACTTGCCACAAATTTTATTTGGTACTATGAAACAAAATTTATCAAAAAAGACACTGACATTCTTGGGAACAATTCCTCATAAAAGTATCTTTTCTTTCTCGTTTTTTTTCTTCTTTTCTCTATACAATCATATTTCAGTGTACAAACGTTTATTGCATATCATTTCTTATTTAATTTTGTCTTATGATATTTGTTGAAAACCCCTTATTTTGAAATTAATTTAAAGAGTAAAGAAACTAATTGGAAAACTGCTTGAAACTTCTTAATTTTTATTATATTCAATTCGGATTTTATATATACAGAATCTGGAAGAGATAATTTCATTTCTTTTATGGGAAGCTCTTTTTTGTAGCTGTATAATCAAATTAAGCAAAAAATTACATTTCTGAGAAGGCGTTTTTCAATTTTTTGAATAATATTTATATTAAATTATTGTAATAATTCATGAATTATCTGTAATTTTTAATAATTTGTAGTTATTTTTAATTTAAGACATATGTAATAATTTTAGGGTAAATAATCTCTCCGTATGTATTCCTAAAATAATAAACCTTACTTTTGAAGTACAAGGTAAATAGTAACTTTTGATTTAATCCTTATCAATATTGAAATGAAATATTCTATGTAATTGAACAATTTATATAAAATAATTATATTTTTTAAAATTTCTTGGATATTTTTTGGAACGAAATCATAAATCGATGGAACCAAACGAAATTCTCCTAATTTATGTTGAATGTCTGATAATACATTTCGTGACGCTTTAAACAATTATTTTAGCATTCACTTCATAGTAATTAACACTCTTTTTCTTCCCAGAATACACCCTTCATTACAGACATGATGATGGAATATGGCAGACAAAGAAACTGAGAAGCACAACCGATAAATACACTCTTGAAAATGCTAAGTGTGGAACCAAGTATCACATGTACCTCACTGCATCCAACAGCCTCGGGACAGGAGAGCCTAGTCGATCTGTAACAACCAGAACCAAAGGAGCAGGTAATACACCAACTTTTGACACAATTTTATATTCACTTGGTCACGCTACAGCACTCTTATGCAGCTGAAACTTCAATTTGAAACTCTCCTTCGATTACTGTTCGAACGATACGATGACGATAGCATTTCAATCGTTATCGTTTCAACTATAACATCGCCTCACAATCGAACTTGAAGGGTTACTCCTCCATAAAATGGTAACCCATGGCAACAAAGGATAACCCATTCTCAATGGATGCGATTTTTTCGCATGCAAAGGAGGCATGGTGATTACATAATGGAGATGACAATGATAACGTAATGATTAATGATTATGAGCTTTCATATTTAACGATTGCTGTTCAGAGGATGCGATAGTGATCGAATTTGGAACGTTATCGTATCAACTATAACATCGCGTCACAATCAAACTCGGAAGGTTACTCTTCCATGAAATGGTAACCCATGGTAACAATGGATAATCTATTCTCAATGGAAGCTATTTTTTTTTGCATGGAAGGGAGGAATGTGATTAAATAATGGAGATGGCAATGATGGTATAATGATACAATGATTATGAACTTTAATATATAAATTTGAAAGTTTAAGCTCTCATGATTAGAAATGATTTTTTTTTAATAATGTAATGTCCAAATTTATTTTATAATGATTAATAAGTAATTTGATACATATTTAACTAAATTACAAAATCGTATCACATCGCTCAACTAGCGTATAATTTACATAAAATTGTCACGGAGTTGAATGAAACATTTTGCCAAGTTCTTTTTTTTCTTTTTATCACCCTGATTTTGTCCATTGAAAGGAAAGTAACTGCTTTGTGATTGGTTAGAAACAGTTCGATCGAACTTGGCCATCGAAGTCAAATTATTTCGGTGGTCACGTGACCAAAAACGTTGGAAATGTTACAGTTAAGTCAAGACAAGGACATATTTCCCCCCCGAATGATTGTTGTTGTTGTTAATTTACGTCGCACTGGAGCTGTGAGTATGCGAATAAGTGAAGTGAATAAACAAACCGGGAAATCAGATGTGATAATCAGAAGATGTGAATTTTTTGTTTGTTTAAATCACAGTTTTTGTACATTTACTTTCTTTTGTATAACCATTTATAGCAAAAATAGGTCAATATAATGCGCTTTTTGTATTAATAAAATTTAAAAAAAAGCCTTCATAAGTCGAATTAATAAGGAAAGATGACGATTGTCTAGGTTACTTTTCAGTAGGGGATTTCTAAACTACTTTTTTAAGGGTAGAGAAAAATCGAGTATTTCATTCCGGCCCATTCTGGATCACTTTTTTTTAGAAAATGCCGAATCTACTTTCAAATAAATAAATTAATGAAAAAAAAAATTTTTTTGAATTCTGTTGTTCTTTGGGCTTAAAGATTTTGAAATTTAAAATAGATTTATCAAAAAAAAAAAAAAAAAAAAAAAAAAAAAAAAAAAAAATAANAAAAAAAAAAAAAAGATAAAGATGTTTGAAAGAATCAACGAGTTTAAAGGGAAAAAAAAAAGGTTTTTAATGTTGCCCGCAGAAAAGGGAAACAAAAATATTGTTCTTGAAAATTGATTCATTTTTTTCTAAGACATTAAAAATGACAATTTTTTACCAGGTGTGCGATAATCAACAGATCCAACTTAAAACTCTAGAATATTTTTATAACTAATAGCTATTTTTTGCTTAAATATAAATCATAAGTTTTAAATTGGAAAAAGTTACTAATTAAGAAATTCAGTAAATTTCTATGAAGGGCTATAGCAAGTATTGAAACACAAGTAAATTTTAAAGATTCCAAAAGTCGGTTCAAATTAGCAGAAGGAAATGCATCTTAACGAGCGTTTAATAAAAAATAAAACATTAAAATCCATTCAGGCAAATATTTTTTTTAATGAAACATGACATCAAATCTCATGTTCCAAAACACTCACCACCCAACCATGGTAAAGCATCTTTTTTAGGCTGTACTTTTGTTAATGGCCATGGTAGGATTGCTAGGTATTTCTGACCTCGGTCAGGCGGCGTGGACAGAACCAATCCTTTCAAATTTCTACACCACAACCAACGAAAAGACTTTCAGAGACGATAGATTTAACGAACGCCTTCCCGCGTTATACACGTGTGTTTTGTCGGCTGCCAGGATCGAACTCACAACCCTCCGCGATGCCTTAATCAACTGCTCCGCAAGAGCGTAAGGAAAAGCAAGTAATTGTTGCAAAATATTAGTTTAGTCTATTTGTAAGAAAACTATAGTTTTTGTGTTTCTTCAATAACGTTTATTATACATAGATTGTACATTTATTAATATTTCAAAATGTACAATAATGTCGAAATACCTATCGCAATTAAGATCTTAATATTTCACAATTCAACAAAGACGTTTCATTTTCAGCCCCAATGCCAGCACCTCAACAATCTTTCATAAGCCTGAATTCCACGTTTGTTATATTGCACTTAGATGGTTGGCAAAGTGGTGGATGTCCAATTTTGCACTTCAACATCCAGTACAAAAGTAAATACCAGACACAGTGGACTTTTGTACCAGACAGGATACCTGCAAATCGAGAACAGACTATTCTGGGACAGCTGACACCAGACCGTGAATATTTGTTGATGGTGACAGCACACAGTGAAGCTGGAGTGACGCAGGGCGAATACAAATTTCGAACTTTGCCTCTTCATTTAGCCACAGGCAAGTCTAATTTTTGGTTCATTAAGTGTTTCAATCTTCATTACGACTTGGAATATTAGTAAAGCCTATGTAAATCATATTGATATGTTATCATTGGTATCATTGTATTATTGGTATATTTGTAAAGCCGATGAAATTGTTAAAAATTTTTTTATGATACTGATTTATTATTTGTATTGTTTGACTCTACCTCATGTATGCTAATACTTGCAGCAATCAAAACAAAGTATTTCAACACAGTTTTAGTGTGTAAACAATTATCAGCACATAATAATATTTGTATGTTCTTAAAAATAATGTTAAGATGGATAAAATTGCATAATAAAAGGAAAATAGATAAATAAGGAGGAAAAAAAATATAAGAGGATTAATCATATGGGCAAAATGAAATGCTGTTCTTGTCTAAAATTTTAAGGGGATGAAAGAATCAAACAAATAAGTGAGTGAATGGGCAAGCAGAGTTTTAATTAATTAATTAGTTAATTTATTTATTTATTAATATTAGAGAAGCAATAGCAATTTTACATTAGGTTTGTAAGTTTATCTCGAGAAAAGCTACCAAATTTCAAAATTTTATGTACACGCAAGTACGAAAAAAAAATTACAATACATGCACTGAAAGTCATGAGACATGGTACAAATAATAAAATAAAGCTACATAAAAAGGATGAAAGCATATTGTTTCTTTTGATTTCATGCAATATTAAAATGTTTTTATTGAAATTGACAGAATTTTGATAAAAAAACATTGTATTATTCCCGTAATTGTCGTCGTCAAATATTTATTTGCCTGCATTTCAACGTGTTTTGTAACAAAAAGAATTTAGAAATTTCATTTTATGGTGCAAAAGCCACGAGTAACTTCCTCCTTTAAGTAAATTTTATAGTTGATGAGGGATAATTAAACCTTTTTTAAAATCCTTCTTGCACTTTAAGAAAGCATGACCTCCTTATTAATTTATCATTTTTAAGGAATAGAGAGACACCGTTCTTGCCAGAATTCGTATTACCCCTGAAATATTTTTTGTTATTTTGCTATTGATCAGTTTTTCTAAATGATATAATAGATATGCAAATATTAATTCCTCTTAAAATATAAGTAAAAAAAAAAGACCTAAAAATTCTAATATTTGTGAAATTTTCGCTCAAAAACCCACGATGCATTTCAAAAATTTTAGAATTTATTGAAAAAAAAAGTAATACCTTGCGTGAATTATTGCGAAATTTCCCGTTGAGTTAAAATTGCAAATCTTTTTATCGAATAATTCTTCAAACGTGCACAGATTTTTTATTTTCCACCAAAAATAGCATTTCTTATGGTATAGGACAAAATTAGCAGTCGAACCGACCACATGGTGACTAAATATAATAAGTGGTTATCAATAAATTGTTTGTCAATCGTTACAAAGGCCAGTTTATAAATCGCATATGCACCCCGTGTGCGTTTACACTATTGTTTTAAAATTTCATATGGAATTATTATAGTTAATATTTTATATTCAAGATGTGTATAATCCATAGAAAATTTAAAAAGTGTTGCTTGTACTCTCATTAAGGAAGTTAAAAATTTCTTTTTATTAGCGTCCACTTTAAAGTAAAAAATTTCTGTGTTATAAATTCCGTAGCTTGATATATTTATGGGGAAATATTAGTCATAGTGTTGAATACAATCTCATTAAAATGCATTTTTATGTTCTCAATTTCAAAAATGATAGCGGCCCAATAAAAATTTAAAAAAATGTATTGAAAATTGGACAAATTGTATAATAAAAATAGCCACTGACCACCTTATAAGGACAGTAAGACACGTGTATATTCTGAAATTTAAATTATTCCAAGTTGGTTTCTTTTCTTTTTTTTTTCAATTTAGAAATAATACTGTAGTGTTTACCACATTTTGAGAAATCCTTCAAAAGTAATGCCTTACATTATTAACATCAACAATTTTTAAATCGCATAAAATTTTCAATATTTGAAAAATTGTCGCACAAAACGTTAATAAAATGTATTAAAAATTGATAAAAGGCCACTGGCCAGTAGCAAATTCTACCAATGTCCCTAGAACAACGTTTCCATTTAACTTAAACAATCATTCCCTGATAAATGCCACCAATTTTTAGTTTCTCTTTTTTCCGTGGTAGGACAATACATACAAACTTTTACTTGGAGGTTAAGCCACATTGTTATTAATGGTTGCAATTATTATTTTTTGTCATGCAGACTCAACCTCTATTCCTGCCTTAGTGAGGAGAGAAGCAGAACTGCCATTTCATCGGAACGTCACTCTCATCATCCCCGTCGTCGTCTCTTCACTCGTCCTCATCATTGTCATCTTCACTGTGGTCGTCTGCCTTCGAAAGCATACGCATGAGAGGAGGGGACAACCTGGTGAGTTCATGACTTATATAGTTGACGGTCGATACAACGATACTCATGATCCGGGTGAGAACGAACGGTATAGCGAAGAGTCGTTATATCAAGACTGCACAAAAATGTCGTAAATATCACATCAAAGTTAAAGAAGTTCTTGATCAGCTTTAACAAGGAAATACAATATAACTTCTCGGGAGCAACCACCCTCCGTTCCATAGTAAAATCGGTGACGGAGGTAGGTCGTTCTTCGAAGTTAACTCCATTGACTTTAAAAATGTTATCAAAGGTGTATGATTTTTCGGAAATGATTTTAATTTAGTCCGTTTCATTTTCTTGGAGTAGAAATGCTACTTCTGTTGGCGTCACGAAAAGATGGATTGATGAATAAAATTTAACGTCTATAAAAATGATCCTGATTGATATAATTATGTGTAAAAACAAATTTACCAAATATGAATGATAAAGTTATTTTACATAAACAATTAGGTTTTTTGGTTAAGTTTGACTTTAATTTTATATCATAAAAATAAGCTAGCTTTAAAGAAGAGGTTTGTTTGCTTAAGAGGCTTGTTTTTTCTAAAATAACTTTTTTTTTCTAATTTAACTTTCAACTTAAAAGTAAATCATTGATAGCATTGTCTTTAGTGTACTCTGACAGCACCATGAGGTTGTCTCGCTAAGAAGACTTCTTCAAATAAGAACCTCTCGCAAATATTTTGAATACATTTTAATTTATTTATTTGTGAAGTTGTTTGTTTTGATAAATTTTCGTGTTTCCTTTTTTAACTCTTTCCGCACTTGATGGAGATATTTGCCCTGTCGCTGGGAGAGGTTTTAATGGTCTCTGGTAAACATACAATTATGCTTCAACAGAAAATCTATGAAAAACTCTCTGTGATTTCCGTGGAAAAATTCTGAAAAGGGGTCGCAAGCAGAGGTGGTCGCAAATAGAGATGGTCGCTACATAGAGTTGGTCGCAAATAGAGATGGTCGCTACATAGAGGTGGTCGCCAATAGAGATGGTCGCTACATAGAGGTGGTCGCAAATAGAGATGGTCGCTACATAGAGGTGGTCTTTCCTGGAGTTTTCACTGTACTTAACTATTATAAGAATATGGTAACTAACAAAAAAAAGTTAATAATAAATTTTTGTATGTAAACATCCATACGTTTATACGTAAACGCACCCTTTAAAATTACACATACTTCACGTGAAATATGCATTCAAAATATTATGCTGGTAGAGGGTTGCCTTTCTCGATGAGTAACATAAATCAAGATAATTGCGAATACTATAGATTTTATCCCGAAAATAAACCACGTTAATGAATGACCCTCCGCAAAAAGATTGAATACAATTTTCAAGGAATCTTTCAAAGGAATCAGAAGAATCTTTTTCTCCGGTATATTGTATTAGCCCTAGAGTGAGGAGAAGCAACCCTACCTGAAATGCGCTATTCTTGCTTCCATAGCAGCAGACGGCCTCAGACTTTGTGGCGGGGGGAGTTTTTACCGTAGAAAAACTATACATACTGTAATCAGTACTTTCGTCTTTTCACCTATTCCACGCACATGGCAGAGATCGAGGGTTTTATCTGACGATGTTCTGATTTAACTGTCTTCATAAAAATCCTAATACTAATTCTAAAGAAAAAGTCGCAATGATTGATGGTGCATCAAGGAAATCTTTTTATAAAGCTCATCATTAAAAAATTTTAAAAACGGAGTTTTCTTTAAAAAAAGATACAACAAAAGGATGGAGCTCTGGTCTGTCGTAAGGATAACCAAACTTTGATTTTGTATACAAAAATTCTACAAGTTTCTAGTCTTCTGAGTTCCTGTCCAAGGCGGCCATCTCCGTGAATTTTCTGAAAATGGATTTTGTTCTTTAAATCGATTTCTTCTGTATATTCAAAATATAAGCAAAATGATCAGATGTGGTTTATTAAATATATATAAAAAATTGAATTTTAAAAAAAAATAGAAAATAATTAAGAAAATAAAAATTTATAGTAATAAATATCAAACACTCAAATATGTACCATATAATTTTTTTTAAAATTATTGTTTACAATTACAATATTTAATGGAAATGAGAAATATCTTTTAAGAAGAAAATAGAAGGTTAAAATTATTTGTATTGTAAAAATTAAAATAAAATAAATTGATTGACAGAATTTTTAAAATTAGTCCTTTGAAAAACGAGAAATAATTCTAGATTACGGAAATGCCAGAATTCGTTAGAATTGCTAGAATTAGAATTTCTCGTTGAAATGCTAGAATTGAGGAAAACGAATAAATAATTTGAAATTTTGTTTGAGAAATTGAGAAATCAGTGGGAAAGAAAATAATAAACCTCAAAAAAAAAAGAAGAAAAACGTTAAAATCATTAGAAAAAAAAATCGGGAAATAATTTTCTTTAAAATGGAATGTATTGGAATCTAACAGATGGCAGCACTACTCACGTATAAAATACTTTTTCATACAAATGCAGATTTAATAAATCAAATCTAGATGGCGATACTGAGTTCCAATATTATTTATTTGAAAAAGAAAGAAGAAAAAAAGAAAATAAACAGGAGTGTAACTAACTTTCCGACATAGAAAATATGCAAATTAATTCTCAAATTTTGCAAAAAATTCAACATTCTGTTTCTTTTATAATTTTTTATTTTCTAACACGTTTAATTTGATTGTTGAACTTTTTTTATTGTGTTTGTTTAGATATAGTTTAGTTATTGTTGCATCTGTCTTAGAAACTCTCCCTCATCTATATATATATATATAGATAGATATAGAAGGGGGAGGGATATATATATATATATATATAAAGAATGCAAAAAATATAATTAACAGTTTTGTCGAATCAGTTACAATTCATAAAATTTAGTTGTGAACGGAAGGTTCATTAAATTGAAAGTAAGTAAGTTAATTTTTGCATAGAATCAGTTTAACTTTAACATTGACTTATATTAATTAATGTTTATGCATACATATTAATTATGTTGAAATATATTTTAATAAGTTCAATCATTAATACGCGGATCATTACAAACTTCTCCAATTTTCAAAAGGCAACCAAACTGGTTTTGATATTCTTCATATTGCCTTCCTCTACAAGACTAAGATTAGATTTCTACGATTTCAACAAGTATTAAAAAACTATGTATTAAAAGCGATTGTTATTTAATACGCTTTCAAATATCTATTAGCGGTAAGTATATGGACTTTAGAAGATTCATTAACAAATGCTAATTATTTAATTTCCATATAAGCCTTTCATACGTTGAAAGGTGATATTTTTATTTTTTAATGACTTTATTTTATTTTATAACTGTTATTATTGAGCAGTTATGGATCAGATTATGCAGGAATAATTTATTAGAATAATTTATTACGCAGGAATACATAATATTGAATAACAGAACTGAAACTAATGTACTCATTTTAGATTTTTATGAAGCTTTCGCTTAAAACGAAGTCTACAAAAAGAATTTCAATCATATTTTTATTTAGTTATATGATACCGATAGTATGAAGAAAAAGAAAATTAAATATTTTAAATCTTTTTTTAGTTGCACAGAGATTAAAGCACGCTTCTTATCAATTTTGAATGTTGACCTACGACTCATATTTCAATCTAAAAAAAATGTGATAAAATACGGCATCATATTACATAATTAAACTGGAGTATTGAGCAAAATTTAATTATAAAGGACTTCCGTTTGTTTGCATTTTGAATAATGGTGAAAAATAACTCGGCAGATTTTAAATTGTGTTCAAAAATAAACATTGGAAGACTGAAAACAAGAAAGGGTCGACCCAAGAAATTTGATTAAAATTTGAAAACACGTAATTCAATCAGTCGTTCGCAAATTCCGACAGTTCTTATGGGAATAGAATTATTTGCGTTCGAAATTGCTTTCCGTGCTATTTAAAGAAAAGTTGCAATTGAAATAGAAGAGCATGAAATTGAAATATTCTCCGATGATTATGCGCCTTATTTGCAAAAGCGTGTTATTCCTTTTGTACGTTAAGAATCTAAAATTTTACAATTTGATTATTTGTAAAGCTAATTTCGAATTTGCAATAAAACTTAGGGAAAGTTACGTATTTTTAACATAATTATTTTTCAGCCATTTTGAGTTCGGATGAATTTATTCCAATTCCCCGATTCAATGCTTTTTCTTTTTAATATTTAATGTAAAGTCGGTGTATATTGAATCGCCATTTTGATTATTACTTGTACCTATCCAGTTTCTTAATTGGAAAGCCAAACAGTTCCCAGTTAGATCTTTCAGGAAAAAAGTAACTGCTTTTAGACTTTTTTTTGCATCCAATTGGAGATCGTTGGCTTAGTTTAAAATTGAGATCTTGTTTGTATTTTATTAATTTAAAAAAAAAATAAACCCTCTATATAGCTAGACGAAATATATATGCTTAATTGTAGTTAGATTGGAAAGATATATTACGGTAGCTGTAAAAAATTAGTCTTTGGTATGTTAAGAATTAAAAATTGTGCAGGTTCCTTTTTTGTAAAGTTAATTTCAAAATTGTGATAAAACTTGAGAAAAGTTTCGTATTTTCCTCGTAATTTTTTTTCAGTTATTTTCAATTCCAATGAATTTATTCCAGTTCCACGATTCGACGTTTTTTTAATAATTTGTTTAATCGTTAATTAATTATTAATTTATTATTAATTATTCGTTAATTTAGTTTTTTCTATAGTCAGTGTATAATTGCTATTTTGATTACTATTTATTCGTACTATTTTTCACACCAAATAGTTCTTGATTAGAAGTTTCAAGAAAGTAGTAGGGGAGTGTCGGGTACTAATTGACAGTGTATAACTAGTATTGACAGTACCCGCTGGGCGGGGGCCCAGCGGGTACCCCGCCCACTGTCAATTTCATATGTATAGAACATTTTTTCAAATCAATGGGCCATCAGACATTAATTGTTATATTAAAAAAAGATTATTTTCAAAGTTTCAAGTATTTATGCAGTTGGTAACA